TGGCGCTGGAAATAATGACGCCACCGCTGCAGCGGGAGCACGATTCGGAACGAGCGGAGCGCGGAAATGCGGCCAGCGCTGCAGCGGGAGCATGATTCGGAACGAGCGGTAGCCCGAAAATGAAGCCAGCGCGAGAGCAGCATTTCGAAAACAACCAAAGCAAAAAACCGGTTTCCCGGGAATCCGGTGTAAAAAGCCACTACGCGGAAGGCGGCAGGATATTTCCTGGACCTCACAAGGGGGGAGAGGAGAGCAGTATTCATATTGTGTTATTGTGGAGGAGGAGGACGAGGAGGAAAAGGAGGAGGAGGATGAGGAGGGGGGGGAGGAGGAGCGGGAGGCGGCTACCAATGGGAACGCCAAATACAGAGCTGAGGAGCTCTTCTGGCCACAGCGAGCCTCTGCCACATGAGCGGCCCCCCCCCCCTGGCCTAGAAAGCGGAGGCGCAGCCCGAAGGCCAGGGCCCCTCCAGAGCCCGACGTGACCCCGAATCCAGCGCATTTGCTTCCTCCTCCTCCTCCTCCTCCTCCTCCTCGTCCTCCTCCTCCTCCTCTTCCTCCGCCTCCTCCGTCTCCTCCTCCTCCTCCTCCTCCTCCTCCATTTCCTCCCCCTCGCCCTCCTCGCCCTCCTCCTCCTCCTCCTCCTCCTCCTCCTCCTCCTTCTCCTCCTCCTCCTCCTCCTCGTCCTCCTCCTCCTCCTCCTCTTCCTCTTCCTCCACCCCTCTGCGCTGCAGCGTCGTCGCCGCGCGCGCGCCCGCCCGCGAAAACGGCTGGGCGGGACCATCAGAGGCCCGTTTGCCAGTCGTCCTGGGTAAAAGGCTGCGGCTCGCAGGCCCGAGGGGGATTCGGCGACCGTCCGCCCCGACGGGCGCCTTTTCTGAGAGGGCCTCTCCACGGACCCTGAGAAACCAAGCCTTCGAAATGGGGCCGGGGTGGGGGAGGAGGAGGACGAGGATGGGAGAGCAGGAGGAGGAGGGGGAGGAGGAGGAGAGGCGGAGGAGGAGGAGGACGCGGGAGGAGGAAGTTGATGTTGATGATGATGATGATGATGATGATGATGATGATGATGATGATGGAGGAGGAGGAGGATAGGAGGAGGAGGAGAGAGGAGGAGGAGGAGAGAGGAGGAGGTAGGGAGGGAGGAGGAGGGGAGGAGGAGGGTGAGGAGGAGGATGAGGAGGAGGAGGAGGGGAGGAGGGAGGAGGAGGAGGAGGAAGGAGGAGGAGAGGGAGGAGGAGGAGGGGAGAGGAGGAGAAGGAGGAAGAGGAGGAGGAGGGAGAGGAGGAGGAAGGAGGAGGAGGAGGAGGAGGAGGAGGAGGAGGAGGAGGAGGAGGAGGAGGAGGAGGAGGAGGAGGAGGAGGAGGAGAAGGAGGAGGAGGAAACATTCCTAGACCCCTTTTTGTGCCAATACCAGAATCGCTTACGCGCAAGAGTGACCCTGGCCAGGAGTGAACTTTGGTGCGCGGCTTTCGGGGGCTGCGGGGAGGTCAGATCCAATCGTGCAGGCCAATGCTGGGGGCACCCCAGTGGGCCCGCACCGAGGGGCACTCTGGCGAAGGGCCACCCACACGTACAGCCGCAAGGGGTCACTCTGGCGAAGGGCCGAGCAAGGCAGAAAGAGCCTCCTCGGACCAGCTCTCGGGCCACAGCTCGTGCCTCTGGCGGCAGGCTCGCCCCTGGGAGCGCTGTCGGCGAGGCGCGGCTGCCAGAAAAGAGCAACCCGAGGCGAGGAGAAGACCGCGCGAGCACCTCCGCGCCGCCGGCTCGACAAGTGGCAGTCGTGAAGGGCTTGACCTCTGCTGCCCTTCTACTCGCGCTATAGCGTCCCCGAGGTGCTCCAATTTTCCCGGGAGATCCCTGGATGTACCTCGATACATCAGATTTACTTCGACTTACTAGATATACATGGATTTACCTCGTTGTATCCGGGTTTACCTCGACTTACTAGGTACCTGGACTTACCTCGATTGATTAACCCTGATTCCAGCACATCCATGCATCGGAGAAAAGTCGTCAAGCAATTGTTTTGGATCGAGCCTCAAGCGAAAGGAAGAAGAGGCTCGCCCCCGAGGGGCTCTTGGGGCCAAATTGCCCACGGTGCAGCATCGAACGAGCATCGTCGACGATGGGACTGGAGGCGGAGCGGAGAAATGCATGGTAAAGTGGGGGTTTCGACAAACAACCCGAACCCACTCATCCTGCAGGCCTATCGAGGGCGATGGTACACGTGAGGGGAGCAGAGAGTGCGGTCGGGAACTTTGCATAGCGTGTCGCGGCGGCGGCCCCGGCGACACGCTACGCCTGCGAGTGGACGGCGTGTCGCTCTGCTCCGCGGGACGAGAGGTCGGGAGCAGCTCAGGACGTTGACGCATGGGGGCTGGGGAGTGGATCACGTGTAGCGTCGAGGCGCGGTGGGCCAGAACCGGCGGAGCGACACGCTAAGCCAAAGTTTCCGACCGTATTCCTCTGCACTCCCATCGCAAGTCTGACAAGCCGCGGATCAGGGCGTCGGGGCTGGTGGGCGAGGGCCCACCTGCTCGAGCAGGCCAGGTCTCTGCACCTTCACGGCGACGTCGGTGCCGTCGTCGAGCGCCCCGCGATACACCTCGTCCGGAGGGGAAGGCCAGGCTGGGGGAGCAGGAGGAGGAGGCCTCCCCCCGTCAACAACCTCCTACTCCTCGGCCTCCTCCTTCTGCTTCTCCTCGTCCCTTGTCTATCTCCCCCATCTCATCCTCGTTCTCCTCCTCGTCCTCGTCGGCGTCGCTGTGGCCATCGTCGTCGTCGTCGTCCTCCTCCTCCTCCTCCTTCCAATCTCTTTCCCGCCCTCCCTCCCCCTCCTCGTCCTCCACACCTGTCCTTATTAACGACTCCTCCCTGTCCCGAAGCATGTCAGGAGGTCTGGCCAGGCGTTTCGCCTCAGACTTCATCACCGCTCATGATCCTGAGTCTTGAAATTTGCAACAGTTTCACGGATGGGAGGCGGGTGAACTTTAAATGTGGCTCTCGCATTCGCGCCGCGCAAACTCGTTGTCAAACATTGCAAGAACCTTCGGGTGGAGGACCAGCCGTTTTCGAAATGCGACTCTCGCCTATGCGCTGCGCGCATTCGTCGTGAACCTTTGCAAGAGTTCGCGGGTGGAGGGTGGGCCATTTTCAGGTTCTGGCTTCAGCGCCGCGCGCATTCGTTGTCAAAGTTCAGCCCATCTTCGAGGGTTGTTATGGTTGATGTCCCAGAACCTGGGTTTGGCACGATGTAGGATTGTGAGGGCGCAACAGTTACGGTGATTCGCGGCGTTGAGATCCCAGGAATGGTGTCCTATCACAGATCAGGATCGTCAAGATGCAACAGTAACGTTGGTTCGCGGCGTTGAAATCCCAAGAATGGTGTTTTGGCACGATTGAAGATTCTCAGGCGATTGCCTTCTAACGGGACGTTTCCCACAATGAATAACAATCTTTTTAGGGAGCGATGGAAAACACAAAGCAACTTGGAAGGAGTATTTACTCACTGATCCTCCTCTTCTTCCTCGTCCTCCTCCTTTCCTTTGCCTTATAACAAATCCTCTCCGTCGCACCCCCATGCGTGTCGGCAAGGCAGGCTGCGCGTTTCGCCTCAGACTTCCTCACCACTGATGATCTCGACGTGAAAGAGATTCACGGGTGGAATGCAGGGCGTTTTTCAAATGTGGCTTTCGCCTTAGCGCCGCGCGCACTCGTTTCTAAACCATTCCAGAAGTTTCACGGATGGGAGGCGGGCCGTTTTGAACATGTGGTTCTCGTCTCAACGCCACACAGCGCACAGTCGTCTTAAAACATTGCAGGAGTTTCATGGGTGGAGGGCGGGCTGTTTTCAGAATGTGACTATCGCCTTAACGCCGCGCACATTCGTCTTAAACATGTGCATGGTTTTCAATGATGAAGGCGGGTGGATTTCAACATGTGGCTCTCGCCTTAGCGCCGCGCGCGTTCGTACTTACAACCGGCAAGAGTTTCACGGATGGGAGGCGGGTCGTTTAAAAAATGTGGCTCTCGCCTCAGCGCCGCGCACATAGGTCGTAAAACGTGCAAGAGTTTCGCAGATGGAGGGCGGTTCCTTTTACTAGCGCTGCGCGCATTTGTTTTAAAAGTTTTCAATAGTTCCACGGGTTCTCATGGCTAACGTTCCTGGCGTTCTGTTTTGGCACGATGTCGGACCGACAAGGTGCAACAGTTAGGTTGCTTCGCGGTGTTGAAGTCCCAAATGGTGCTCTGGCACGATTCAGGATCGTCGAGATGCAACAATAACGGCGACTCACGGCGTTGAAGTCCCAGGAATGGTGTTCTGGTAAAATGCGGGATTTTCAAACGGCTGTTTCCACTGGGGCATTTCCCTGGGTGAAAAGGAGCCCTAGTAGGGACCAGTGAAGAGGGAGCTTGGATGAAGGTTTTTGTTTGCAACATCGTTGATGAGCCTGGGGTTTGCACCTGTCCTCCTCCCCCTCCCCCTCCCCCTCCCCCTCCTCCTCCTCCTCCTCCTCCTCCTCCTCCTCCTCCTCCTCCTCCTCCTCCTCCTCGTCGTCACGCCCTGCCTCCCTCCCTCCCAAGGCTCGCCCAGCGGGGGCTGCAAGTCGCACCCGCTTGGGCTCCACCCTGCCGTGCCGCGTGCGCACCAGCCCCCGCCCGCGCCTGGGCCCGCGCGCGGGCCGCCGCGCGCGGGGTAGAGCCTCGCGAGACCCGCCCGCTGCGGAGAGCCTCGCGAGACCTGCACGGACAGTGGAGGCCAGTCCACAAGAGACCTTCCACGAGAAACCCAACCCTGGGACCCCAGGACGTCCACTGATTTCTGGTATGGAAGCGTCACGCCTTCCATGGCACAGCCATCGGAACCCAAGAAGCCCAGGGCACCCTGGAGGCGAGCAGGGTGTTGCTTGGCATGGGCCTCCACTGTGCAAACAAACTTTCGGAAGTCCGCGCGGACTCCTACGGGACAGGGACGATGTCATGATGCGACTGGCTCAGGGCACGTCCCAAGGAGTCCGGAGCAGCTGGCGGCCCTCGCTCTGCAGCCCGTGCGGAGCGTGGGGAAGCCGTGGGGATCTTGGAGCGTAGTCTCATTAGTCCCTGATCCTCCGATTCTGGGGTCGTCGCTGGACCCCCTCCCTGGCACGCGGAGCGCGCCCGGGGCGGCGCCGCTCCCCAAAGCGGTGTGTGGAGGGGGGGAACCCAGGGCAGATCCAGGCGATCCTCGCGGACCTCAGATTCTGTAGCTCGTGCTGTGCCTTCTTCCTCGAGCTCCCTGCCCGTTCGACGAAGCCTCCTCCTCCTCCTCTTTCTCCTCCTCCTCCTCCTCCTCCTCTTTCTCCTCCTCCTCCTCCTCCTCCTCCTCCTCCTCCTCCTCGCTGGTGCGCCGTGGTTGCGCCCCTGGGCTGTGCTGCCCGCGCAAGCCGCCTCGCGCGGTCGGTGCTGCGGTTGTGGTGGCTGCGGTTGGCCCAAGGCTTCCGTTAGGTCGGGCATGTCTGTCCTTCTACAGGCGAATTTTGGGCGAAAGCCCAGCAAGTAGTCCAACCAAAATTGAAAAGTAGTAGTGGAAAAGTCGTCCCCAGACTATTTTTGAACTATCCCTGAACAATCCTCCTGTCGAGGGACAAGCCCGACTTAAGGCTTCCGGAGCTCGTCCTGGCGACGTGTTCTCGACGGCCCGAGGCCCGCTGGGCCGTCCTCGGGCCTTCTTGGGGGCCGTCTTGGGGCCGTCCTGGGTGGGCGGGAGCCCGAAAAAGGGCGAGAGCGCGAAGGTCATCAGCAAGGAGAAGGGAGCACCCGCCTGGCGGCAGCAGGCCCCAGGCACCAGAAGAGAACAGTAACGAGGGCGTCGCAGTGCGCTGAACATGCAGTGCGCCTCCTCCTCCTCCTCCTCCTCCTCCTCCTCCGCATCCTCCTCCTCCTCCTCCTCCTCCTCCTCTCCTCCTCCTCCTCCTCCTCCCTCCTCCTCCTCCTCCTCCTCCCCCCTCCCCTCCCCCTCCCCCTCCTCCTCCTCCTCCTCCTCCTCCTCCTCCTCCTCCTCCTCCTCCTCCTCCTCTCCTCTTCTCCCGCTCCCCTCCCCCTCCCCCTCCTCCTTCTCCTCTCCTCCTCCTCCTCCTCCTCCTCCTCCTCCTCCTCCTCCTCCTCCTCCTCCTCCTCTCCTCCTTACGGGAGGTCATACGGGAGCGCATACGGTAGAGGCAATGTGGGAGAGCAGACGGGAGACAACACGAGAGCCACCATGCGGGACACCGTCGGGCCACCGCTGCTGGCAGCGGGCCCCTCCGTGAGACCAGAGGGGAACCATCGAGTCACCGCTCCTGGGGCTGGCAACGGCCTCCTGGGCCTTCCTGCGAGCCGCGCAGAGAACCCTCCTACAGACAAGCTGTTCAGGGAACCAACGGAATGATCCAAGCGAAATGCCCGACCATCTGCTCTTGTGGCGTACCGCGTGTGTGAGTATCGTCTTCGCTACGGGGCCACGAAACGGGTGTGGGGCGTGCCGACATGAAGGGGGAGCCGCGTGCGACTTGTGCCACTTGAGGACTTCGGTTGATCTCCCTATGGGGCCACGAAGCGTGTAAGTGGCGTGCCGAACGTGGGTGTGCGACGCAGGGATGGGAGAAGTAGGGAGCGGGGGGGAGTGGGGTGACGCGGGACGCTGCTGCTTCAAAGCGAGGATCCAACACCACATAATGTCTGGGATACGGTGAGGCACTTTTGCGTTGCGTGTCGCGGCTGCGGCCCCAGCGACACGCTATGCCCTGCAAGCGGACTGCGTGTCGCTACGCTCCGCGGGGCGGGAGGTTGGGAACAGCTCGGGACGCTGACGAGTGGGACTGGGGACGTGGACAGCGTGTCGCGCTCAAGCGTGGGGATCCAGAACTGGCGGAGCGACACGCTAAGCCGAAGCTCCTGACTATAAGTCAGCAACGATCCTGACCTCTTCGGAGGCTCGGGGGAGGCGGAGGAGGTGGCGGCGGAGCCAGGAACTCCGCCGCGAAGGCCTCCATGGACGAGCTCGGATAGACAAGCGCGCTCCACCACTCGCCCAAGTACCTGCTCGCACATGGCCCGGGTCCGCCATGTGGGCTCTACGATGCCCTACAAACCGGGTCATGGTCAATATCGTTTTGTTGTTGTTTTTTATTTGTTCTGTTTTTTTGTTTTGTTTTCTTGTGTTTTTTTGTTTGTGTTTGGACACTTGCGAGCAGGCAGTCTGCGAGTCGTGGAACGCGCTCGGAGAGCCGAGGGTTAGGTCGGGCGTGTCCCCCTACAGGGGGGATTTTGGACGACAAATGACACATACTCAAAAAGTACTCCCCAAATCCAGCAAAAATAGTCGAGAAATAGTCCCCATACTTGTTGGTTTGTTTTTTATCACTATTTTTGCATATTTGTCTGTAGAGGCACAAGCCCCGGGGATGGACAGACCTCCCTTCAGCAAAACGTGGTTTAGTGAAAACGACCCGAGGCCCAAACCTGGCGGGCGCAAGCCTGGAAGATAACGGCCGCGGCGCCCTCTCGAGAACCGAGAACGGACAATTCACTAATCGACGTGTCACTGTTGCGGGGCCTGTCCGCCCCCGAGGGCCCGCCTCAAGCCGAGGGCGCCCCTGTCCTCCGGAGGCCCTCCCCCGAGGCGCGGCCGGCCGGCCGGCGGAGCGCCTGCGCCAGCGACGCCGCGGCCACGGGCTCCGCCGACAGCTCGGCGAACAAGGGCCTGGCGCCCTGGGCGGCGGCGCCTGCAGGCGGCGGCGGCGGCGGCGTGGCCGCCGACGGGAGGGCACGGCCCGCCCCGAGGCAGCAGGGGCCCTCGGAGGCCTCCTGCTGCTGCTCCTGCTGCTGCTCCTGCTGCTGCTGCTGCTGCTGCTGCTGCTGCTGCTGCTGCTGCTGCTCCTCCTCCTCCTCCTCCTCCTCCTCCTCCTCCTCCTCCTCCTCCTCCTCCTCCTCCTCTCCCCCTCCCCCTCTTCCTCCTCCTCCTCCTCCTCTCTCCTCCTTCTCCCATGTCGTCCTCCTCCCCATTCTCCTCCTCCTCCTCTTCTTCTTCTTCTTCTTCTTCATCTTCTTCTTCCTCTTCTTCTTGCTCCTCTTCTTCCTCCTCTTGTTGTTATTACTATTCTCCCTCTTCTTCTTCCTCTTCCTCGTCTACCTCTTCTTCTTCTTCTTCTTCCTCTTCTTCCTCTCTCTTCCTCCTTTTCCTCCTCTCTCTCTCTCTTTCTCTTTCTCTTTCTCTTTCTCTTTCTCTCTCTCTCTCTCTCTCTCCCCCCCCCCCCCCTCCTCCTCCGAAGGCCCTCGCAGACCCTCGGAAGGGGCCCAGGCCGCCCAACTGCGCGCCTCTCGCGCGCCCTCGCAGCGCGCGCCTCCGCGCCCCCGCGCCGCCGCCCCCGGGGAGGAGCGCCTCTGCGGCTCGGGCCGCGGCGCTCCTCGCGCGCGAGGCACAGCTGGCCTCGCGCGCCCCCTGCGGGCGTGCGGCCCCCGGCGGCCCTCGGCGGCCTTCGGAGGCCCTCGAGGGAACTCCTCGGCAGGCCCTCGCGGAGGGCCCTCGCGAAGGGCCCTCGCGAAGGGCCCCTCGCGGAGGGCCCTCGGCGGCCCTCCGAGGGCATCCCGCGGCGGCCACCAGAGGCAGCTCGGAGAGGTCACCGTCGGAAGGCGCTCGGAGGGCCTCCAGCGGCGGCCGCCCGAGGCAGCTCGGAGAGCATCGTGGTCGTCGTCGTCGGCGTCGGCGGCGGGAGGGCAGGGGGGATGAGGCCTCACCTTCTTCTCCTCCTTCCCCTGGCCTTTCTCTTCCCTCTCATCATTCTTCTCCTTCTTCTACTTCTTCTCCTGCTCCCATGCCCCTCCGCTACCCCCCGGAAGCTCGTCGTCGTCGTCCTCCTCCTCCTCCTCCTCCTCCTCCTCCTCCTCCTCCTCCTCCTCCTCCCCCCCTCCCTCCTTCCCCTCCGGGTCCCTCTTTCTCCCTCCCCCCCCCGCCCCCACATCCTTCCCACATCCTTTTCCTCCTCCTCCTCCTCCTCCTCCTCCTCCTCCTCCTCCCTTCCCGGTCCCCCATCGAGGCACCGCCAGAAGGCCCGGGCAAACGTGGCAAAGACGGTGCCGCAGGCGGCGGCGGCGACGACGGACGACGACGGAGACTACAAAAACGCCGACACCGCCGACGCCGCCGACGATGCCGACGACCACGACGACGACGACGACGACGTCGACCACGACGACGAGGACCAGGACGACGACGACGCCGCCGACGACGACGACGATGACCGGAACCAGGACGACGACGCCGCGAACGACGACGACGACGACGACGACGGATGGCAGCGGCAACGGCGATGATGGCGACGCCTCGGGCGGACCCCTCGGCGACGACCGGCCCAGGCCAGTCCGCGAACTCCTCGCGCACGGTCGCGAGCGCGACAGCGTTGTCGAATGTGCCCAGGGCGTCCTCCCCAGGCGGGGGCGGCCGCCGCCATCGAGCGCGCGCCCACCCAGGTGCGCGGCCCCTGGAGCAGATGCCCCTCTATCTCCCTCGCCCTCCGTCTCCCTCCCTTCCCCTCCCCTCCCCTCCCCTCCCCTCCTCTCCTCTCTCGTCGTTGTCGTCGTCGTCGTCGTCGTCGTCGTCGTCGTCGTCGTCGTCGTCGTCGTGGTCGTGGTCGTGGTCGTGGTCGTGGTCGTGGTCGTGGTCGTGGTCGCGGTCGTGGTCGTGGTCGTGGTCGTGGTCGTGGTCGTGGTCGTGGTCGTGGTCGTGGTCGTGGTCGTGCTCGTCGTCGTCGTGGCCGTCGTCTTGCTCCTCCTCCTCCTCCTCCTCCTCCTCCTCCTCCTCCTCCTCCTCTTCCTCTTCCTCTTGTTCCTTTCCTTCCCCCCGCTCCGCCTGACGCAACCCACATTGCCGGGGCCGCGCGCCCAGCGGGGCCGCCTGGCGCGGGCACCTGCTCGCAGGCGGGCCCCCCTCGCGCCCTGGCCTGCGTGCCCTCCCCGCGGCCCGGGGCTCGGCGGACGCCCGTCGCCTGGCCGCGGGGGCCGCCTGGCCGTGGGCCCCCTGGGAGGCATCCGCCCGGCGGCCCCCCCAGCACTGAAGCTGGTGGAGTGCCGCGCGGGCGGGGGCCCCCAGCTCCGCGGTGCACTGGGTGCTGCTCGGGAGCATCTGTTTCACACTTGTCTTTCGCCCCCCGGCGGCACCCCCAACGAGAGGCTGGCGGGGTGCCGCGCGGGTGGCCCTGGGCAGCCTCTCGGGGGACGGGTTGCTGCGCGGTGGGCTAAAAACGGAGTAGGGCCAGCTGAGACAACGGTAGGTGGCCTCCAGGGGTCCCTCGTCGCCACGGCTGGACACAATTCGGAGAACCCGTGCGCTAGCGCCCTGGGAGGAGTTCAGGGACCGACTTAGAGCTGCGGGTTTTCCAGTTCGTCATTGTTTGCTCCCCTAGCCTTCGCGTCGTAAACTTGCAACGTTGCGAAAACGACGCCCATGCACCGTGCCATGTCTGGACTCCTTTCAGGCTCCACTCCAACGCGATACGGCGCAGACTTTCGCAGTCAGTTCAGAAGTGTTTTGGAACGATTCAAGACTGTCAGGGCTCGACAGTTACGTTGATTCGCGGTGCTGAAGAGCTAGGAATGGTGTTCTGACACGACTCTGGATCGTCAAGACGCAACAGCGAGGTTGACTCGTCGTGCTGCAGCCCTGAGACTGGTGTCTTAACACGCTTCAGGATTTTCACACGGTTGTCTCCCAATGGGGGCACTTCATTCAGTGGGAATGAATCCTTGTATGGGGCCTATGAAAAGGGAGCTTGGAGGGAGGGTGTATTCCGACATCGTTGATGAGCGTTGGGTTTACACTGGTCCTCCTCCTCCTCCTCCTCCTCCTCTGCCTCTCTTCTTCCTCCTCCTCCTCCACCTCCTCCACCTCCACCTCCTCCTCCTCCTCCTCCTCCTCCTCTCTACTTCCCTCCTCCGCCCCGTCAGGGCGCCGCGGCCGCGAGGCGGGGGCACCGCCGCTGCCGACGGCGGCCGCGCTCCTGCATGAGGCCCAGCTCGCGGCCGAGCTCCTGAGCCCGCCGGCTCCGGTGGCCGGCCGCCCTGCAGGAGTAGGGGTCCTTGTCCTCCTCCTCCTCCTCCTTCTTCTTCTTCTTCTTCTTCATCTTCTTCGTCTTCTTCTTCTTCTTCTGCTGCTTCTTCTTCTTCATCTTCTTCTTCTCTTCTCTTCTTCTTCTTCTTCCTCCAACTCTCCTCCTCCCTCTCCTCCTTTTTCCTCCTCCTCCTCCTCCTCCTCCTCCTCCTCTCGTCCTCGTCCTCCTCCTCCTCCTCCTCCTCCTCCTCCTCGTCTTCCTCCTCCTCATACTCTCCCTCCCCCTCCTCCTCCTCCTCCTCCTCCTCCTCCTCCTCCTCCTCCTCTCCTCGTCCTCGTCTCCTCCTCTCCTCCTCCTCCTCCTCCTCCTCCTCCTCCTCCTCCTCCTCCTCCTCCTCCTCCTCCTCCTCCTCCTCCTCCTCCTCCCCTTCCTCTGCTGGAGGGCAAATCGAGTCCTCCTCGAGCGTGCCACAAGTTTTGCCCTCGGCCCTCGAGGGTCGAGGGGGGAGGTTCTCGGAGGGTTTTGGGACGTTTTTGGCCGTCGTCGGGCCGCCTGAGATCTCCGGGGACCTCTAGGGGTCAGGATCTGGGACGGCAGCAGAACTGAGCATCGTTTCACCGATCCCTGTCCCCGTTGGCGTGGCCTGGGCCCCACTGGCCGATTCATCCCCCTAGATCGAGGAGCGTGCCACAAGTTTTGCCCTCGGCCCTCGAGGGTCGAGGGGGGAGGTTCTCGGAGGGTTTTGGGACGTTTTTGGCCGTCGTCGGGCCGCCTGAGATCTCCGGGGACCTCTAGGGGTCAGGATCTGGGACGGCAGCAGAACTGAGCATCGTTTCACCGATCCCTGTCCCCGTTGGCGTGGCCTGGGCCCCACTGGCCGATTCATCCCCCTAGATGGGGACATAGGCTGTTCCCTTCGGGTTTCGAGGGGCCCATCCCCAACTGGAGCGGTGGGATGGTGGGGCTGAGACACCGTGGCCCGGTGGGGATGGGGATAGGCTGAACGATACTGATTCCCAGGGAGGGCGGATTGCGTCCGACGTCTCACGCCAGCAACCCTCCCAGCTGTGGCGACGGGTCGGTCTGCCGCCGGGCGACGGCCACAGCTCACTGACGGTCTCCGGCTGAGCGTGTCGGCACGCAGATGGTGGTGTTCACTGCGGGTCGCATCAGACCTTCTCGCTTGAGCGAGTCCTTCTCCTCCTCCTCCTCCTCCTCCTTCCCCTCCTCCTCCTCCCTCCTCTCCTCCTCCTCCTCCTCCTCCCTCCTCCTCCTCCTCCTCCTCCTCCTCCTCCTCCTCCTCCTCCTCCTCCTCCTACTCCTCCCCTTCCTTCATCTCATCCACTATTCCTCTTCTTGTTGCTACTACCATTTCTCATCCTCGTCCTCCTCTGCTTTTGACGGTTGGTGTGCCGACCCCAACAATCGACTTTGTGG